TTGGCATAGATAGTTATTATATAATTCTTTAGAAATGTTCAGAAAAATGGCCATGCATTTCCCCTTTAACTCTACAATAGCAGAGTTAAATTTGCTTCTTGGTACATGTTTTCCCTGGTCAAGACTTTTAAGATTCACTATTGCAATACTGATGTTTCTGGAGTTCCATAAAGCTAATTGTCTTTGTGCAAACTTCACTGGACATTTTCTAGTAAAACCCCATGCATGTTTATTTAGAAGTCCTATTGCTTCCGGTGATACTTACTCCCAGATAAATGTACTTAGAATGCCAGTCTGCCTGAATGTTGTCACACTCATGTATTGTAAATAAATGGGGGGAAACTGGAAACTCTACATTCTACCTAATAGTCATTAAATCATGCATGTTTCCTAAATAGTGATTTAATCATGCAAAGTACCCCATTCTATACAGAGAATAACTGATCAGTAGTGTACAATTTTACTTGAAAGACAGTGTCAGTAAACGGTTGCTCCTGATTAGTCTTAGCTAAAAGGCAAAGTCTTGTTTGAGTTAAACTCAGCTCTTGATATTTCTCACAAAAATCCTCTTACAGCATCCTTTTTGCTGAGGGCCAACCCATGGCAATCACCAAGATCAAGTAGTTATAGTTCAGTTGATAGTAGGTCTGAGCTGTTTCTTAGAGCTAAGACTGTTCAGTTCCTGCTGTCATTTCTTATTACCGTATTTGCCGGCGTATAAGACGACTGGGCGTATAAGACGAGCCCCCAACATTTCCACTCAAAATATAGAGTTTGTTATATACTCGCCGTATAAGACGACCCCCCCACTTGGAGGCATGTTTTTCAGGGCAAAAAAGTCATCTCATACACCGGCAAATACGGTAAGTTGTAACACTTGGGGTATTCTGGATATAATTCTTGATTGACACCCCCACCCCTTTCCCCCAAACTTACAAAGCCACCAAAATGCTTTAGAGAGGCAGCTTCGCCTTTCTCAGGCTGGCACTCAATTCCTCTCCCTTTCTTTGTGACAGCCCCCGCGTGTGTGCCATCGGGACTCCAAGGGTGGGGGATAGACAGCTGCCAACTCTCTCTCTCTCTCTGTGTGTGTGTGTGTGTGTGTGGTGTGGAGGGTAATTCCGGCTATCTCTGGCCTCCACTCGGTTTTAAAGTCGCTTGGCCGGTTCCCAAGTCGCAAGCGCGCGCTGGCCGGGAGACGCGGCACCGGGTGGCAGCTCGGTGCAGGGGAGGCGGATCTTTCTCTCTTAAGTGAGGAGGGGACAAGAGGAGGGACGGGACGGGACAGGGGGTGGGAGGAGGTCCCTCACCTTCTTCCACCGCCCACCGGACCCTTTTCTTCCCAAGGGGACCCTGGAAAGCAGCTCGGGAGCCGGGTGGCCCTGCCCAGCGGGGTCCCATCAGGAACTTCCCGAGGACACCCCCCCCGCCCCAAGCACAGCCCTCCCGGTCTTTCAAAGAGGGAGGGAGAAGCGGGAGGAGCAAATTGCCGCCCCCCGCCCCGCTGCCCAGAAGGAGGGGCGCCACAGTCCATCCCCACCACCTTCTCCCTCCCACTCCCCGGGCCATTACGCGGCTCGGGGCTGGCTGGGCGAAGCGGCCCCGCCAGAGACCCTCCCGCTCCACCCCCACCCCACTTCCAGATTGGCCTCCGCAAGCGCCCCGAGCCGGGCAGAGGGTGGGGGGGTGGGTGGGGGGAGGAGGAGGAGGAGAGACTCTGGCTGGGCTTGAAGGGGCTTCGCAAGTTGCGGAGCCCCGCCCCCGTCGCTCTTGCACCGAGTGACAACGTATTTACCGGCGTATAAGACGACCCCCCCACTTGGAGGCATGTTTTTCAGGGCAAAAAAGTCGTCTTATACGCCGGCAAATACGGTAGTTTAACTGTACTAGCCAAGGTAAATCAAAATGTCAGAATAGTATTTTGCTGTCTACTTTGCCCTGTGGATTTTTGCCTTTATTATAGAACTGGGAAGGGATCTGAAAAAGAAAAAGTCCAACAATTACACTTAGTGCAAACTTTGCCAACATAGCCTGCTCACTGCACGTTTCTATTAAACTGAACTGTTTGGATCAGGGGTATTCCTCAAAAGAAGTCCATACTTCTAGAAATCTGGGGTAATGCATAATGTCCAGGGCTATTTTTACACCACCCATATTTTCATTCCACAATCCCACCCCTCATAATCCTGCAGTACTTTCTTCACCTGCCAGGGGTGACCCTAACAAAGCAGGACAAGGTATGCAAGTACTTTCTTTATATTCCTGCTTTGTGACACTGCTGCATGCTTACATCATGACAGCACAGTACACACTCAGATATTGTCAAAGGGTATCTTGTTCCTTGCTTGTTGGCAGAGAACAGGCAGGCAGGCAAGCTGGCCATCCACCTTGTTTTCTGTCAGTAATTGCCAATTCTCAGCCACAAGCAGACCACTTCAAGCCTGCAGCTGTTGGCCCGTTCTTTTCCAGCAAGGAAAAATTAAGTTGCCTTTTTTTTCCTGACTTTACTTTGATTCTTTACAAAAAAATATCTGGGAATGGAGTTCTGTGAGTTGATTTCACTGGCTATATATCTCTGCCTTGTCTGCTCATGTTTGTTTTCATGGTGTATGTGGGTTTTTTTTGGGGGGGGGGGGGGTAGGCTTGGATGCCCAGAAACCAGATGCCAGAACAATGAGGTTCTTGTTCGCATGAGTGGGAATGCTATCTGGGTTTTCACTGGCCATACCTTTTTGCTTTATAGAGTCTGTCTTGTACCTACTGCTTTGCACACAGCAGTGAAGGCTAAATCAGGAAAAACCATGCAACCCTATCAACCAGTTGTTTGGAAAAGAAAGCCATAGGGTACATTAAAATTATCCCCTCCTTCACAGATTCAAAAAAATGTATTAGTAATAAGTTAATTAGTAATTGTCTTGTGGAATTACATGAACACTGCAGATTCCTTGCCCAATAAAGTCTTGGTGGCAGTGGGGATGGAAGTGGGAAATGGGGAGGGCAGACTTCCTTCTCCCTCCCTTCCCTCCCTCTCCCTCTCCCCCTCTCTTTCTCTTTCTCCTTAAGAACACGCCTAGCTGGGCTGCAGCATCTGAAGCATGAAAACATTCACCACATCTAAGCTGATTTATCATATAAGAATTAAGCCAACCAATCAGTTTACGTTTTAGGCCAATGTCTTGTGCACTAGTCATATTATGTATCAAACCTCTGGAATTCTTTTTCAAAATGGAATTTCTTTGAAAGAGTGGTTTTGAGTGCTGAAACTTTTGCGTGCATCCTTCTAATCTGTCCAAAAGGCACCTTCACTGCTAATTCTAGACAAGTGGATTGAATGGGGCAGGTCTGCCAAAGAGGGCGGCTCCTGATGAATGCTTCCCCTCTATGTTGACTGGCAGCCATAAGGGTTGGTGCTGTTCCTACTGCGGTGATGCTCAGAATCATGTAGCGTTGGCTACATGATTATAGCTGGAGTGGAGGGAGTTAATTGATGTGTTTTCCAGGAAACATTTAAGGTGGAGGAGTTAGAGCCTCCCACCCTTTAATCTTTGTTTATTTCTTGTGATTCTGCACAGAGGAAAAACTCTGCTTCCAATGGTGGAAAAATCTCTTCCAAGAAAAACCTATCTTACTGACAAAGAATGAAACTGAAATCTCATCCAGTTTCCCTGTCAAATTTGTGGCATTATCAAGGCTTGTAATATAATCCTCAGCAAATACACCAAACAGATGGTATCAGCTGGACTGCACTCTATCGGCTGTAGACCTCTTCGTACAGCTCCCTCAGTGGAGGCTTTGTTCATAAATTGTTCTAATGGGCTGTTTAATTTTTTTTTCCAAGAGTGTGCATGTACTTCATCAGAATAATGTGGGAGAGATGTGGTTAACAGTATCTATAAATATGTATTATTCCCATCTGCTGTGCATTACAACTGCAGCTAAGCATTTCATGCCTCATTTTTCCCCCTTTACTGTACAAGCAAATAAAAGGAGAACTAATCTTTTAGCTGACTGTTTCCTGATTGGCAGTTTTAACACATAAATAATATAAGAGTATAGCTGCATTTTTCCCCCCAACAGATCCCCTAAAGGCTTTTAGTTGAACCAAAGGAAGTCTTCATGAACTTTCAAAGTTACTTTCTCCCCTTCCTTCCCTTCAACTATTGATGATATATTTTAAAAAGAGAAAACAAAAGATAATGCATGATCTGTCCAACCTGTGGGGACTTCCTGGCTTCCAAAGAGATAACACAGCGAAATGAAAATGAAGAAGGGCAGCAGATCCTGGCTGGGAAGCAATGGCCATCTGGGGAACTTTGGGAAGCTACCTAAACGGTGTTATACTTCTCATCAGCAGTTTTATTACTATTGACTTTGAGATCCTCTATCATGATGGGAGAGCTTAAGTATTGCAAGTGCAGATTGTGGCAAGCAGTTGTTATTTTCCAGATTTTTAAAGGTTCTTGACATCCACAAAGTATAGCCATTGTAAATGAAATAAAGAATACATTCTTTACAGCAATGTTTCTCAACCTTGGCAACTTTAAGATGGGTGGACTTCAACTCCTAGAATTCTCCAGCCAGTCTGGAGAATTGCTTTAGAGCAGGGGTGTCAAACTCACGTTGTCACGGCGGTGTCACGTGATGTATAGTAACTTTTTTTCCCCTTTGCTAAACCGGGCATGGCCATGGCCAGCACATGACACATCCGGCCCATGGGTTGGGAGTTTGACAGCCCTGCTTTAAAGCCTATAAAACCTAGTGGATTTGTTAACTTATCAAAAACTTTCTTGGATATTAAATAGCTATGTCTAGATCATATGTCATATGTCTTGTGGATATTTCTCAAGAGACAACTAATATAATTTTTGAAAATACAATTGATATCACTATGATAGCTCCATATAGCAAAGCATATATTTTGTTCTCCATGGGAGAGCAAAACACCTGTAGAACATATACGTAGTATACATTTTATGACTTAATTTTTCATCTTCTTCCAGGTTGTTTCTTGTCTCTACTGGGAAACATGTCTTTTAAACACTCTGCCTGTTGAAATCTCATAAACCAAAGAATTGGCTGAATGCACATGTGAGTAATCAGTGCCCTTTCAAAACTCCTTGCCCTTTTCCAGGGGTGTCTGCAGGATACGATTAAAAATGAAGGTGGCAGCAACAATGGCACAATCAAAACTCCACCCATTTTGAAATGCATATTGCCTTTTCCCATGATTAAATTGTACAAAACAGTTTAGTGTATGGATTAATTTATGAAAAATACTTAGCCCTGCAAATTATGCCTCAATATCACTGTTTCTAAATGTAGGCAGACACCGATGGGAGGAAATACATATCTCTCTGTACCATCACTCATTTTCAATTTTAAAAGAATCTGCAGGACTAAAAACAAAACAGTTGTGGTGCAAAGCCTAAAAGGTGCAAACAAAAATAAGATAGGAAAACAAAACAAGGTTCCAAAAGACAAAAGAAGACCCAAATAACTTGAAAACAGGAAAACTGAATCCACACTCAAGAGAAATTTGTCACAAATCCAATTGGGAAAAAAAACCTGCCATGATGCTTCAGCATCAATTCCTGGGCTTCCAAATGAGTGCCCACTTCAGATGCAGACAGCTGGACAGTCTAGTGCTAAGCTCAAATTGAAAATGTATTTCCACTTAGTTGATTCTTCATTATAGCATTAGGCTGCTTGATAACCAAAATTATCTGGGTGGATTGCAAGATTAAAAAATAAATGCACAAGGTTGAGTCGTAATAGGAATACCATGGGATTGCATCGTGGATGGTTTAGTTTTACTTTCCAAGGGGAAGCCTGCTGGTGACCTACATCAGAGGCCTGGTATGAGACCGGCTGTTTAATAGAAACATTGCCTTCTCTTTTTTCGAAAGGCATTGTTGGGCAGATTATGAACCACTGTCTGTTTATATGCTTTCTTCACATTTGGGTCACAAAACATCCAGATTGTTGACGATGTGATCACAATCAAGTTACACATGCTTTCACATGCCTCTTGTCTAAATCTGGGCTCCCCAAACTGCCTTTCAGACCTTTTGCCCCATCTGACTTTTTATGGTTTTAAAAAAAAACACTTGATTTTTTTAAAAATGCTGGCCTTCAACAACTATATTTATTTTTAAAGCTCCCATAAATGTTCACATGGAAATGAATCCACCTGCCCAGAAACAGGATGCAGGTAGAGAACAACATTTGAAGCAAGTGTTTTGGAGGGAGAGACTAAAAGTGGGGAGGTGTTCTGATCAATGTGTATGTTGTTACTAATTATATTACAATAGCAGGTATTTTAGGCTGAACAAGACTCCATAGCAGCCATTATATTACTGCACTCAGCACATTATGCTATTTGTGCACTCAAGCTTCAGATAGTAGCTTCCTGGCCAATTATATGTATTTTTACTGAGCCTAAGCAAGTCTCATGGAAATGAAGCCACATCTGATTAGGCATGGATCAAGCCATTTGGAGAATTTATATTTGAGCATTTTGTAAAGAAAAAAGGGCTCCATTGTTTTATCCATCCATCCATCCATTTATTCAGCCAAATTCTAGGTTGTCTCAATCCCTGATAATTTGTTCTTTATACATCAACATAGAGAAGAAAAATCTTGTTGTGCCAGGACATATCCTCAAATCAAGAATCTCCACCATTATCCATATAATTGCCATGAATTAGAAATTGGATTTGACTAAACAAAATTAGATTTGACTAAACAAAATATTGCTTCAATACACAAGCATTCGTGGATATGGAAATATGAGTGTTCCCTATTAAATTTGAACATAATCTTGTTTAACTTTTGTCCTGCTCCTTTTCCCTCCCTCACTACCCACACATCTTGCTTCTGCCCCTACTTTTCAAATATTACTTTCCTGGATAAAGTTGTTCATTAAATAGTCACAAGGAAGAGTTGATCCTGGAGAATGAAACGTTCAGGGCAGTACAGGTAATCCTCGACTTACAACAGTTTGTTTAATGATCATTCGAAGTTACAATGGCCCTGAAAAAGGAAGCTTATGACCATTTTTCACACTTATGACTGTTGCAGCATCTCCATAGTCACATGATCAAAATTTGGATGCTTGGGCAATTAGTTCATATTTAGGGCAGTGGCAGTATCCTGGGATCACTAGATCACCTTTTGTGACCTTCTGAGAAGCAAAGTGAATGGGGAAGCCACTTTCACTTAACAACCGTGTTACCATGTTTCCCCCAAAATAAGACCCTATCTTATATTTTTTGCCGCCAAAAAAGGCACCAGGTCTTATTTTCGGGGGATGTCATCCACTGACTAACCTCGTTTGTGTACATCGCCCCCAGCCTCCTTTTCGCTGTCAGAGGCCTTCAAGAACTTCTTCTTCTGCTGCTGACAAGGCTTTTCTGAAGGCCTCTGCAGCCGATAACAGCTCCAGATCGATCCGGAGCTTTGTTATCAGCTACAGAGGCCTTCAGGAAAGCCTTGCCATCCTTGCTGGCTGCAGAAGAAATGGGCCGGCAAGGCAGCATGTCGGGGTGTGCAAGGCCTGGCTACAACTGTCCAAAGGTAAGTAGTAGGGCAGCTCCACCACTCCCCATCTCCAACCTAGCTTAACCCTCCACTCTGAAGTGGGTGAGATCTTAATTAGGGCTTATTTTGGGGGGTAGGGCTTATATTGGGTGCACATAGAAAAATCAAACTAGGACTTACTTTCAGGGTAGGTCGTATTTTGGGGGAAATGGTGCTAACTTAACAACTGCAGTGATTCAGTTAACAGCTGTGGTAAGCAAGGTCATAAAATGGGGCCAAAGTCACTTAACATGTCTTGGAACTTTGTTGCTCAATTGTGGTCGTAAGTCAAGGACTACCTGTAAGTATGACTGTGTGACAGGGCTTTAGATGCCATTTTTCAAGCTCAGCAATATTAAATGATGAGTCATGTGCTAGTTTAGTATCTTGCAGCTTGCAAGTGGACCTGGCAGTGCCTGATCTGCTGTCACTGATAATACCCACATGAGATTAAAGTTATGGGTTCTCTCCCCCTCTCCTCCTTTTATATTATTGTACAAATGAAGTGCAGCATGTATGAAATCTCTCTAGGCCATCTGTGGCAGTAATTCATTTAGCTGCAGCTTATAGAACAGATATTTCCCAACACAATTAGAACTGAAGGGGAACAGAGATGAGGGGGGGGGGGAAGAGAAATAGAATGTAATGTGGGGAGAAGATCTGTGACCCATGTACTATTTATACACACATATGCATGAGTGTGTGTGTGTATATGTGACTTGATCCATAAGAACTGACTACTGATTGTGTCTGTGTATCTGTTGTCATTTTTGATGGATCAAGTGCCTGACATGCAAGCAGAGCAACTAGATAAATATATTTTATAAACATTTAACTTTGATACACTGGAGCAAGCTGTAACAGTAGAAGTGGGAGGAGGGGAAAGGGGGTCTGGCCAAAATTGAAATGAAACAGGCGTTCCGGCTCCTCTGAAATTGTTTAACTTGGAGGAAATGTGCCTGGAGATAACTTGGAAGCACAAGAGGAAGTTTCTCTTCATACCCGACAAAGCACTTCTGATGATGCTCAAAAAAATTTCCCTTTCTTCATCATCTGTTCCCTTCTAAGTGCCAGATCAAGTTAAGACCTGATTTGCATTAGACCAGACAAGCCTTCCAGCCAAGACAACAGCAAGAACTTGGCTTTGGGCTTTCCAATGAAATAAACACACCGAGTTTACAACCTGAAAAGAAGCATGTCCAAATGTGGGCTTTGGATGTTTTGTTTTATTTTATTAAAAAAATACTCTTTGTCTTGCTTCAGATCATGCACAGTCAATATTTATGCAACATGTGGTCCTGATGGGAGGACTGTAACTGGTCAGATGGTTAAATGAGAATGCAAAGGGGACAGATGGATATTACAGCAGCTGGCTAAATTCCAGAGCTTCCTGCTCATGTAGAGTGACCTCTGAAAAGAGGTTTCATGGAAGCTTGCAGTAAACATTTTCATTAGAACAGTCAACATTATAGTAGAGATTTATAGATTTTCTGTCAGCCATCTTTCCAAGGGCTTATAGAACATATAAGATCAGAGTAATTTAAATCCAGGGCACCTAATGAAAAAGTGAAAGAGTGCTTGAAAAATGACAAGTTGGGTAGTACAAGATAAGCATCCTTACATGGAGAATTCCACAAAACACCAGCACTGAGAAAGTGCTTCTTTTGGTCTTCATCTGCTGAGATGGAAGCATTCAGAAGCAGAATGGGACAATTCTCCATGGCCAACTCACCATGGGCATCTTGCCGTGATCATCTTGCCACAGCTTTCTCACTGCAGCCTTCTCACCACAGCCAACTCACCTCAGGACAACCTGCCATGGCCAACCTGCCGCAGACAATTCCATGTGGGATAACTCAACACGATAAATGTTATTCACCATTGTTTCTTTGACATTATTTCCACTTTTGTCAATGGAAACAATGTCAAAGAAACACTGGCAGATAATGTTTATTGCATTGAGTTATCCCACATGGAATTGTCTGCTGTGAGTTGTTCGATGGTGAGTTGGCTATGGTGAGATGGCCATGGTGAGATGGCCATGGAGAATTGTCCTGGACCCTTTGGAAGAGTACCCCGATGTTGGTGTTGGATTGCTCTTAAAAATGTGAAGAGGTTAATAAATAAAATAGATATATAGCGATAGCACTTAGACTTATATACTGCTTCACAGTGCTTTTAAGCAGTCTCTAAGCAGTTTACAGAGTCAGCAAAATCCCCCCAACAATCTGGGTCCTCATGTTACTCCCCATGGAAGGATAGAAGGCTGAGTTAACCTTGAGCCTGGTGCAATTCGAACTGCTGGTAGTCGACAGAATTATCCTGCAAAACTGCTATCTAACAACTGCACCACCACGGCTATAAAAAGCCGGGTCACTCATAGTGCAACCCTAATCTAGCAATTCTACAGTTATCCTCTGTGTAACAATCAAGTGAAGCCAAATTGTTTTTTGAATAAGCTTTCTTGCTAGAAAAAGTCTGCTGCGTATAATTTATATGCAGGCCTACGCTGGAATGTTCAGCTTAAACATCATTTTTGCTGCTTTAAATTTTGCCACCCTCTTTTACTTCTGAACCTAGTGAAGTGTGTTAAATTCTTGAGTTGTTGGATTCAGACTGTCCTTTGAATAAATTGTGGTTATATGAAGCATAGGCTGGATGATTTGTAAGGGTCTTTTTTCACCAATCAAAGTAAGAAACAAATGCCCTAGATATTATCTGTGATTCCACAGGCTTGGCTCATTACTGTTCAATTTTAGGGGGAATTCTATCAGATGGACTGGGACACCTGGTGCTTCAGTTCCCTGGATGCTTTGCTCAAGGAAGAGAAATGTTGGGACATTTCCTGAAAATGAGTTGAAATGACTCTGATTGAGGTCAGCAATGCTGGGCTGGACAGTGTTTTTGGTTCAAGAAGATCTATGAGTGTCTATTGAGATTCTCAATCATTCAAGTCATGGTTGTCCCAAAGGTAACAGATAATCAGAGTTGGAAGGGTCCTTGTAGGTTATCTAGTCCAACCCACCACCAAAGCAGGAGACCCTACACCATTTCTGACAAATGGCAGTTCAGTCTCTTCTTGAGTCTCAAGTGATGGCACTCGCACAACTTCCGAGGGCAAGCTGTTCCATTGGTTGATCGTTCTCACTGTCAGAAAGTTTCTCCTTATTTCCAGGTTAAATCTCTCCTTGTTCAGTTTCCATCCATTATTCCTTGTCTGGCCTACAGGCACTTTAGAAAATACCTTGACTCCTTCCAAAAGGCAATTGGACTCCCTTAGGGTTTTTTTTTTTCTTTGAAAATATTTCACTTCTCAGTTCTGTAGAAACTTCTTAGATGAGAAGCAAAATGTTTTCAAAAAAGAAAAAAAACCTAAGAAAATCTGGTTGTTCTTTTGAAAAAGCACTTTTGGGACAGAAGATTTGTGCTGTCCCCATGGAACCTCATGGGATCATTGTCTGAACTGGAACTGGAAGCCAACCTACCAGCTCCCAATTTTGCATCATGGGACCAGCACTTGGGACTTCTAGCCCTTTCATCTGGGATAAAGATGAGACTTTCTGGGATAAAGATGACA